GCATTTTAATAAAAGGGAAACTTATTTATGTACATGTATTCTGAGTAAAATTCATTTGTAAAGCAAACAATACAAAATGAGAGATAACTCATATGTCATATGAGTTCTAAATATGAAAAAAACTCTATAAGTTAAATTGTATTTGTATATGCTTTTGAAAAAAAATGGAATGTTTTTTTGTAAACTTGTGATTGTTGCTAAATATGTCTTCTTAGTCATTTAGATGCTTATAATTATATAACCTCAATAATTGAAATAAATAATTTGAATAAATTTTATTGAAAACAGTTTCAAGAAATAGTTGATTGATGTTTATTATGTAGTCAGTATCTTTATTTGATTGTTATATGTTATTGATGATGAAATATTTAAATTAAAGTAATTTTGAATACGACTTTGATCTTTGTAATAGAATTACATGATTTTGTAGATCAGCCTGCTCTAGGGATAATATGAAGGTCTTCATCATCTAATGTTGCATGATCATGTGACGAACATGGCAGCATTTGTCACATATAGTTCCAATTGAAACCATATAGAAATTAAATTAAAAAAATTTATATTCCACTCAGAAACTTCTTAGCCGATTTTAACTGAACTTGGCGGGTATGATGTTTTGTGAGGTCCTCTACAAAAATGCTCATTTGCTTCTGACTTGATGAAAAACATATGGCTGTCAGAGACAATCTTTGACTGATTGACCAATTGTCAGAAATCTCATCTTAAAGCTTCATGGTCAAATGTTTTTGAATCTTTAAGGGAATGATGAAAAAAACAATGGTTTTGAAAATTTAAGGGATTGAGGAAAGCAAAGCCATCCGAAGATATATTTTGTTCGAAAATTTCTCTCTTAATCAATTAAAGTCATTCAAGAGTAAATGGGCTATATATGTCACAGATTACAGTAAAATGTTGCAAGAATAACTTAACTGAATATCGAAAAAACAAATTATTTTTCTAAGGCAGTATACTTTATAACATATAAATTAATGAAAATCTTAAAAATAGTAAAATTTAAGAAAAACTTTGTAAAAATTTATTTCTAAAAACTGCTTTCTCAATACCCAGTCCAGTGATTTTTCTTTAAAATTGATATATTTTGCCAAGTAAATTTCTGTTTTTATGATGTAAAATAATCATAGGGTAACTGACTTTGTTCTTAGGTATACAATAATACATCAGTAAAAGTGGAGAAAAAATACCATAAAACATAGAAATAAGCGTAACAGTGCCTCATAAAGCATCAACATGACTGTTTTTCAACATTTTCCCCTGCCAACATATTAACAGATTGGTTAACACATCATTAGTGACCCTATGGTTATTTTATATCATTAATATATATATGTAACAACAACAATCTATGGATTGATTTGCGAGATTTGATGATTTTAAGACAATTTAACAAAGTCACAATTTTACATTTATCCTATAACAAAATACATCTATTTTAAATGAAATCATTCAATTATATTTCAGAACATTATATTTTCATTTTTTGATTTTAAGCTTAATATGTCAAAGTTTCATGAAAAATCTTATAAATATCTGTGACATGGCATATTTATTGTAACTTGACCTTAAGTGGTATAATCTCAATGGGAAGGATTCAAGCTCCTACTAGCCTATGATCATCTCGTTTGGTTTTGTTATGTTTTTCATTGCTTCAGTCAGCACTAGTTTCTATGGAAGCCTATTGTTCTCCTCTTGGAACTGAAATATTGCTTTATTCTAATGAGGTAGACTTTATGAAGGGGCCACTCAAAAAGAATGAAAAGAAGCTGTCATATGGTCCAGCTTTAATATTGTACTTTTACAGAATTATTCAAAGTAAGGTGTATGTATTGATCACATTTATCTCAATGAAATAATTGATTAGAGACAAAGAAATCTTCTTCATACCTTGTTTTATACCAAAAAAGAGTGAAATTCAGTTGAAAGCTAAAATATGTTACAGCAGAGATGAGTACAATTTTACCAATGTAAATTTTTCATTCATATATATACAATAGCATTCTGTTGGCACCTGCATTTGGAGTTTAAATATAGTTCCTGTTTGAACCATATTTTTAAAGCTTGTTTTTTTCCTGTCAGAATGTTTTGATAAAAAGTAGCTGCTTACAAGGAGGCTGATAAACCAAGAGATTTTAAGAGCAAAGTTGAAGTCATATCTGTTCAAATGTTTTACAGACATTATCACAAATTTGTTGACAGAACTTTATAGAAAATACGTGTCACAGATGACCACAAATGTGTTCCATGAAATTGTAGCCACAATCATCACTTTCTTTCTTCATTCATGATTTACCACTGGAATAGAGACATTCAGACTGTAGACATTAGTAATGATTTTCTGTGTTTCCTACCTACACGACATACTCATAATGATTTTGCACTGACAATGGAACATGATTTAATGACATTAACGGTTCCATTTTTTCTGCACCAGATGCGCATTTTGACAATAAATGATCTCTTCAGTGATGCTCGAGGCCTAAATATTTTATAATCCAAAGCTAATTAAAAAAATGAAGAGCTTAGAAACCAAAAAGGTAAAAAAAAGTAACTTGGATTATCTCCCATTTTCTACGTACCAAGTCAGGAATATGACATTCGTTTGATGTCTTTGAGCTTTTGATTTTGCCATTTGATAGGGGACTTTCCGTTTTGAATTTTCCTAGGTGTTGGATATTTTTGTTATTTTACTTTTTACCTAAGAATATCAACTGAAAAATTATCCTAAAATTTCATTGCCCATTACAAATGCATTAAAAGAATTTCTGATTCGATAGTAATTTATAATTAATGTCCTAAGTCCAGACATCTCTAATATGACATTCTTTGAACCTTTTACTTGTAAGGAGCCACACTATATAGGAGCCCCAAGTGGAACAGGAACTGACACCCTTCTTCAACACCCCAATTCACCCACTGGTTTTGGTATGGTTCTTTCCGCTTTTTCGTAGTGTTTGTGTTAATTTAAATCGTCTTTTTCTTTTGTCTTTTCATGCCATTATTGTTTTTATGCCCCTGCTGTAAACAACTGGGCATTAAGTGTTACCCTTAACTGTCCTAACAGTGTTCAAATTTGGGTAGTGAGTCACTCACCGTTCTAGAGTTATGCCCCTTTATAACTTGGAAAATTGCATTTTTTTTATTTTCCACACTCTAACTTAATTTTATCTTATCCGAATTTTATGAAACTCATACACAATGCAAAGAATCACAACACACAGACAGACAGAGTTCGAATTTGGGTTGTCAGTCATTTATTGTTCTAGATATATGTCCCTTTTTAACTTGGAAAATTGCAAATTTGTTCATCCCAGCACTCTAACTTAAGTTTGTCTCATCCAAATTTTATGAAACTCATACACAATGCTAAGACAACAGGTAGACAGAGTTTTAATTTGGGTTTTCATTCATTAATTGTTCTGGAGTAATGCCCATTTTAACTTGGAAAATTGCAAATCTTGTGCTGGGGCATTTGTATCCGCCGACACATTTTCCTTTTATTTAAGTTATCAGTAGCTGGCTAGATAGGCTGTATGACTTAAAGAGTATAACTATTACATTTACAAAGTGAAAAATAAGTCAAAGGAAAAAAGGCTCAACACAAAGTGCATTCTTTTCAGGTTTAACTCAGACTCTTATTTTTTTTTATGTTTTTTTAACATGATTTATTATTGCTCCTTGATGTAATTTGTACCAAAAAGTTTTCCTTTATATAAAAGAAACATTTTAAGTCATATATATTTGATACATTTGCTTCTTTAAACCATCTGCAATATGATGATAACTATGGTTATTTCTTGTTAAGTCCAATAATACCAATATAAAAAGAAGATGTGGTATGATTTCCAATGAGACAAATCTCCACAAGAGACCAAATGACACAGAAATTAACAACTATAGGTCACTGTACAGCCTTCAAGAATGAGCAAACCCCATACCACATAGTCATTTATAAAAGGCTCCGAAATGACAAATGTAAAACAATTCAAGTGAGAAAACTTACGACCTAATTTATGTACAAAATAATGAATGAAAAACAAATATGTAACATAGCAACAAACGACAACCACCGAATTACAGGCTCCTGACTTGGGACAGGCACATACAGAATGTGGTGTGGTAAATGTAGGTTTCTGGCGCCAAACCCTCCCCCTTACCTGGGACAGTGGTATAATGGCACAATACAAGAACAAACTATGCAAAACAATAAATGAAAATCAAACATGACAAAAATGACAACCACTCAATTACAGGCTCCTGACTTGGGGCAGGCACATATAGAATGTGGCAGGGTTAAACTAGTTTGAAAGCGCCAACCCTCCCCCTAAAAAGAATGTTATTTTTGGTACAGTGAGGCATTACATGTACATATACCTACATAATAATATATATGTCATATACACATGTAACAGTGTAAGTTTAAATGGGAAAAGATAATTTTTAGGTGATTACAGAAAGGACTATATGTGTTAACGGTCATCTGTTTCATAAGAAGTAATACTAAATCTTAGGTAATTTGTCTTTAAAATGATTGCTAGGTATTTAAAAAGTTTTGATTGTAAGCTCTGTAATGTACTATTATAAATTATCTTTGATCTTTTAGACCCAAAGAATGATAATATTGTTAATTGTAAAATAGTATAGTTTTGACATATTTTTGTAAGATCATGCAACAATTATAAGTGTCTAGGAGAAATGTTTTACATTAAAATTAGAATTAAGACACTGCTGTAAATCATTCTAATGTTGGTACTTGCATGCTTTTGATTTTTTTGAACTATGAAAACCATATGACAATCCAAATCCATATATTCGCATGAAAAGCTTGGAAAAATATTTCATATATTATAATTACATCGCTTAGTGTGACATTATGGTTCCTACAGTACCTGTTTTTCATTATTTTGTAAAACTCTAATGTACATCAAAAGTGAACTCTAAATCTATGAAATAATGTTACCTCCTTATCTTTGTTTATTTTCAAGGCAAAGGTGTAAAGAAAGAACAACAGAAACAAACACCTCAGACACAAGGTACTCCACAGGATCAAGACACATCAGATCCAAATAAAGAGTATAATGTCAACATGGGAAGTACAGTGTTTAAAGTTTACCAAGGGGACATAACTGCTATTAAAGTAGATGCCATTGTAAATGGAACTAATGCTGACTTGGATTTTAGCATTGGTAATATTATCATTTTAAACAATAATCAAATTTTGGAACATCAATTTTTTAAGTAAAAGCTGATTAATTTGTTCAATAAATTGGGTTATAATACTCAATGAATTATTGTGAAATGATCATGTTAAAGTTTGAGTTTTACTTAAAAATTTACCAAATTGCAAGTTAGTATCATATTAACCTAAAAGGGCCTTGGTGACCGAGTGGTTTTGAGAAGTCGAACTACTGTATCACTAGCCTGTCTAATCCTGCACATGACAGGTGTGCTGGACTCAAATTTTATTTGACAAGGATTGTCAGTTTTCTTACCAAAGACTGGACACTCTGGCTTATTCCACCTATAAAAACTGACTGCCATAAAATAGCATGCTAATGATGAAAGTGGCAGTAAACACCAATCAATCAATCAATCAATCAATCAATCATTAACCTAAAGTGTTCAGTTAGTAAGAAAATTAAACAAGCTGTGGTAGGAGACCTCCAATCAAGTTATCAATGTTAGAAAAAGAGAGTCAAAAGATAACAAAGGGACATTCAAACTCATAAGTCAAAAAAATAAACTGACAACGCCATGGCTAAAAATGAAAAAGACAAACAGACAAACAACAGTACACAAACAACAACATAGAAACCTAAAAACTGACTAAAGAAGAACCATGATTAATAAAGCATAATTACAATATTACAGATTTTCAATCCACTATTCATATGCTATTTGTTAAAAATATTATATATTATGAGATGTTTTATTGGTTTCATTTTATCATTAATATGGAGAATACATTTCTGAATTGATTCGACTCATATTGCATGTGTGACATCTGAGATTTCAATGAATGTAATTGTTTTATTACTAAATAGATTTTACAGCAAAAATATCACTATCATAAATTGTCAAAATTTGTACTAATTTTGCCACAAATATGAAAATCATGGACGAAGTATGATGAAATCTTTGTTTATTTTTCATTGAAGTTCTCAGCATTGTACAGATTGTGTCTCTATCTACTGTACTATTATGACATTACTGTCTGAAATCTTTTCTGTAGAATCACTTATATTTTAAGGACTGCATCAATGATTTCAGGAGAATTTGGTGATGACGGCAGTATTGAATTTATTCTCAACTACGCCAATATAGAGCTTGATAATTAAATTATATAGACTGTTATGTATGTTGACCTCTGGACTATGTCCATAGGTCCATCTGTCTTTGTGGTAGGATTTTTTGTCATTAGGTTAAAGTCTCATTGATTTTTACCCTATGTTTCATTTTATTATAAAATATCATGGATAAAAAATCTATGGCTTTATTCTTTTGTTTACATGCCCAATTAAATGCATAATAATACATTTGGTATAATTTTGTCTTGACTGTTTTAGGTGCTGTTGCTAAAGCTATTAAACAAAAGGGAGGACAGGAGCTGGACAAACAACTTGGTGATAATAGTAAGATAATGTTTCAAATTCAGTTAAAAGTTGTAGAAAGAGTGAAATAAATTCAGAAGACTTTAATGGAAAAAAAGTTTAAAGACAGGGCTGATATGCATAAAACCAGTTAAGTTAAGATATCCAATCGTAGTACTTATTTATCGTAGAACATGTAGAAAAATCTGTCTGTTCGGAACAAATCTTAACTTAAGTAGTTTTATGCACATATCAGCCCTGATTTTTTTTTCAATGAAAATTATTATATAATTATAGGAAGTCCAAGCATTAAATGAAAATAAGATTAATTCATTTCTATGAAAAGGTTTATTTGGCATCAAATAATAAGGATTTTTCTTTCTCCTTCATAGTCTTTTTTTTAAATAATCAAAAGCTGGGTAATTAAGCTGTATGACTTAAATAGTAACACTTATATTTACAAAATGAAGTAAAAGAAAAAAAGGCCAGATATTTTCACACAGAATGCATCCTTTTCAGGTTTAATTATTTTTACATGGTTGAACTCTAAAAATATTTGTAACAAATTTCATATTTTAGTTTATGTCAAAAAAACCTATAATTGATTCATTAATCATGTTTGAATAATCATGGAAGATGTGTACAATGAATCTGTCTAAATTTTGTTAAACATTTTTTGATTATGTATTGAGGTTTAATTTATTGTGTCCCAAATAAATAATTTGTATATATAAATATATGTTTTATGCCCCACTGCAGCGTTATGCCCAGCCACAGAGGTGGGGCATTAAGTGTTACCCTTGTCCATCTGTACTTCAGTACGTACATCCTGAAATTGGTTTCAATTCTCTAACTTTAGTTTGCCGGAACTAAATGTTATGAAACTTATACACAATGCTTATTACCACGATTCACAAATCAAGTTTGAATTTTGGTGACGTCAGTTTGAATTTTGGTGGCGTCACTTTTACTGTTCTACAGTAATGCCCCATTACTAATGGAAAAATTGCTGAATTTTTCGTTTCTTTTCTCTAACCTAATTTTGCCTCAAGTAACCAAATGTTATGAAACTTATACACAATGCTTATTACTACAAAACTCAAACGAAGTTCAAATTTGTATTGGGTCACTTTTTACTGTTCTTGAGTTATGTCCCTTTATAACATTAAATGCAAGCAGGGCATCATCTGTGTCCCATGGACACATTCTCCATTTATTGTTTCAATTCTTGCTTGTTTTATAGAAAAAGCCATGAAGAAGGATGGAATAGCTGTAACAAACCATACTTCTGGATTAATGTGTAAAGCTGTCATCCATCTAGATATGACAGGAGTGAATCCATTAGTCTTTGGTGGTTCTATTGCATCAGCTTTCTCTGTTAAACTGAAGGATAGAATAAAACTTGCACTTGACAAAGCTGAAAAACTACAGATGGCTTCAGTAGCATTTCCTGCTTTAGGTAATTATAAATGAAAAAATGATGTCATATCTTATAGGAATTGCATACACAATTCCCTTTTATGTTTACTATTAAAACATGTTGCTTATTTGGTGGTTTTGATATCTACTACCAGTTTCCTGACCATTTATTGACTGTTTGAATGAATTTGTAGTAAATTATTCTGATTTGTTCAATCACATCTTGTACACTGGGGGACCTTGGTGGCCAAGTGGTCTAAGTAGTTCGACTACTATATCACTAGCCTATCAACACTAAGGTGAGTTGGAATCTAGCACATGGCTGGTGCTTTGGACCTCGATTTAAATTAACTAGGATAACATCAGTTTTTCTGCCAAAGGTCAGTGGTTCTCCCTGGCTATTCTGGCTTCCTCCACAAATAAAAACTAATGCCATACAATAGCCAATAATACTGAAAGTGGTGTTAAACACACGTCAATCAATCTTGTACACCAATATAATTACATTTACAAAACTCCAGATTTTCTAAGACGAAAAAATGATATAAAAAGACTGGAAAGTATCGAAATGTTTTGAAAATCAATTAAAATTGTCATATCCAGACCCAGAACAAGTCATAAAAATTCATAATTACAACAATGAAGTGATAGTAATAGTGTCTTCATTGATGATTGGAGATGGAAATCAAAGTTTTTATTGTGGAATTTTATGCCAGATCAACAAATATCAGAGTTTGGATGAGTTTTGTATTATGTCATGATCGAGTTAAATTCGTTGAGTGACATAAAATTGAAGTTTACACATCAACAAAATCTGATGTAATATATCTTTAACATGAAGACAGACTGAAAGAAGAGTAAAAAAAATTGCAGAAGGCTGATTTTTTGACAAAAGTATTCATAATTCCTGATGCTTTTACACAATGAGCACATTGCTTCTTGAAACCAAATCTTGTTGATTTTGTTCCATGTTAGTTCACTCATTGATTAAGGCTTTTAATGCTGTAGTTCTATGTGTAGGGATAGAGTGTAATATGTGATAGTATTTTTATTTAATAAAATTTTAAGTAAATTTTTTTAAGGCACGTCAACCAATACTAATGTAAAAGTAAGTGACATTGCAGAGGAGATGTTCAAGGTCGTTGAAAAGTTTCATAGCAACAAGACTAATCACCATGTAAAGGAAGTACATGTAGTTATATTCCAAAAAGACATGATGAAGGACTTCATGGAAGCTGTCAAAAACTGTGTTAACAAGTCTAAAGAGGGTTACATTGACAAATTTATGAAGTGGACTGGACTTGGAGGTAATTAAGAAGATTTCTATAAATAGGTAGAAATTATTCATATTATATTCGAACATGTTGTCTTTACATTAATGCATGCCTTCACAAATCAAATGTATAAGTCACACACCTTGTTTTTAAGGTGCATAAGGTTGCATGATGTTGAAAATTTCAACATTTGCATTTTGTAATAAATGATACCGGTAAAATCACAAAAAAAGGAAAACTTTTAAACACACACACCATACATCTCTTTTTCTTTATAAATATTTAAATATTGCAATTGAACCTTTTGAGTCCTTCACAAATTTGGTATTATATTAAAAAGTGCATACACATGACATGTATAACATGCTAATATGTAGTATTTATTTTATTTCTTATCAGTGGATAAAATGTTTTATACTGTTTCAATATTTATTTTTTTTGTAAATACTGAAATAAATTTAATCAATACTAGAGCAATATTTAATTTTCATTTAGCAGGAGCACAGTCACTGAAAAAATCAAGACATAACCGCCATCTGATTGGAACCCAAGTGTCACAAAACAAACAAATGGCCACAGTGGTTTCCTTTGTGATCTATGCTAGAGATAAGAATTCAGCAGATAATGCAATTCAATTACTGGAGAAATCTGTAGAAGATGATATTATAGAAAGACCCATCAGGGTTAAAATAATCAATGAATTTACCCCAGAGCAGGTATTGAAGAATTCTAAATTGTGATTGTTCAATTAAATCTTAAATTAATAGAAATAAATGATAATAATAATTCATTTTATTTAAAAAGTATCACATACTTGTCTACAAAGTTATATATAGATTAAATAATATACATTTCATAAAATCAGACAAATAATGTATAATTTTAGGAATGGTTTAAAATTTTTATTTGTGAATTGAATACTACATATTAATGAAAATTTTTTTATTATTTATTTGTTGTTTTGTTTTGCTTAAAAGGATATACACAAGTTATACTATTTGAAATAACAATTAAAGCTGTAAAAGATTGTTACTTTATTATTTGTTATCCTGTCTGTTAAATTGTATTAGTTTAAACATTGAAATAATATGTGTGTCATCTGCATGGTATTTTAATAGATAAATGAAGTTAAGAAACTAGAGGCTACTGGTAAGGTTGAAGTTACTGTAGACACAAGCAAAGGGGAGATGAGACTTAGAGGATTTACCAAACATGTCTCTGATGCAATTGAACAAGCAAATGATATTATCAAAACAGCAGAGCAAGCCAAACAAACAAGGCAAAAGGCCAAACTTGTAACTGATATGGTACAGTGGCATTATATGGAAGAAGATAAAGGAGAGAAAAAACTAGTCGAATATCCTCCTGAGGTTAACCTTATTCTTGAGACGGCTTTAAAAGATCAGAAAAAAGATGCATCATTTTATGACCAGAATGGTAATAAATATGTTGTGGATTTCAACTCGTATGAGGAATATCCGGCAGATGACCCGACAGATAAAGTTCAAGTATTAAGAAAGTCTAAACTTGTTGGTGAGTACTCATGTTGTATTACATTCTGTATAAGTATTATCAATTAACTCAAAAGGAGTTTGGATCTGCCTTTAGATCTGTTTAATGAGTTTGCAGTTATATTCAATCAATTCCTGGTGACAATTTGGAACAAGGTAAGTTATACTCCACAATTTATTTTCCTGTAAATTTCAAAAATTTTTAAGATTATTATTTATATAAGTGTCACACATGTTTTTGAGCACCTTTTAGAAGAATCTGTTACAGTTAACTTGTTTTTCAGGTGGCCAATTAAAATTTTATAATAAGCTCATGATTTTTGCATTACGTTTAAATTTTATTATCATCTTGAAAGTTATCTTCCTTGATACTGTATTTAGTACCATTAACAGTTCAGTTCTTACCATGCCTTAAATGCTGTTTTTACCACAGATCATGCCTTTGAGTTGCCACTATCTTGGGAAAAGATGGGAGACAAAGAGAACTTAAAAGTTGTTCAGCTGAAACCAACAGACCAAGAATATAAAGATGTTTCACAAAAATTTATAGCTACATCTGGTGGTACAAAAGTAACTTTTGTCAAGGTAAGCTGAATGCTATGCTTAGCTGTTCATTACAATGTTTACTACATGAACATTTTTGCATCAGTAATACAGCTATTACTCAATATAGTTTCAGAATTATAATTGATTATTACATTGTCAAATTACAATTCAGTGCAATGTGTTTATTGAGAGGGATGTAATATTCACAATTGTTAAACTACACAGAAAGAAAATTACCCTATGTTAATCCATATCAAGCTATAGGAGAATAGTTAGAAGTTGCAACTTCTGAAAAAATGTAAATTTTTGAGAATCATTCTCTGAAGTAGTCTAAAATAGACAGCCTCAACAATGTAAAAAACACCAGCATTATTATACATTTGGGCCAGTTTGCAGAAGCTGATCTCTTTGTTGATAATTATATTTCTCTTATTTATAGAGAGGCCAAGTTGTTTCCTCGCCAAGTTGGATGTTCTCTCAGTACAATCAAAATTCATAAAAAAAATGATGGCAATGTTTACTTGCTTCTTCATCAATTTCATTGTTGGATCATTTTAAGTTCCTTTATCCAAACCAGGAAAACATTTGAAGTTGCTAAAAGACTTTCAAATGAGTTGTTACCGTATCAATTCCTGGTATATTTGATTCCTTCAAGTTGAACATGCTGAGATGCAATGTACAGAATTATAGATAATTTTATTTGAGTCGACAATTTTCAGAGATTTTTATAGTTATATTAGTTGTATCTGTCAGTGACTAAACTTAAGGGTCGCCCAGTTGCCAAAATCCCCCAGATTTTCGCCTTGGCAAAAATATTGTACCCTGATTGCCCAGCTGACGACTGTAAAATATTTTGCAGTGAATCCAATTTCTACCCTTTCCCCTGTGATATATACAAAAACTGTTCCCAAACAACAACCTGATTGTCTAATCAAAATGGGAAAATTAAGTGATAATTTCCGGAAACCTTAAATTTAGTTCATTTTAATAACCAAAACCCTGTCAGACAACTAATTTTTTTTATGCAAATTCCCATTTTGACATATACGCCTTCTCTAAGCACATGTTCTTAAAATCTTCTACAATTATTTTATTATTGTTTCGTGTTTTTGTCTAAACCGTTGAATCTGAATTGCTTCAGAGATGCATACCAGTTATCCAGGGAGTCATCACAAGCCCCTATTTGACAATAACTTGTCCACACATTGCTATTTACAAAATCGTCAATGAAAAAAATAAACGAAAAAATCTCGTAAATAAATATCGAAAAATGGTTATTTTTGAAATCTCAAGAAGAGATTTTATATGAATTTATAGGGTTGAATATACTTACCATGAAATTACAATTATATTATATAGAATATGTTTGCTTTCACAACATGTTCTCATCGCAATTAACTAGGTGATTAAAAATTACATCCATAAGATGTACTCACCTACATCATAATTTACCTGTGTAACATACAGTAACGTTAGTTTTAATTTGTCGTTTAATTGAATAATTACAATTGTGTGAACAAAAAACTGAATTTATTCTAGGGGTGGTGGTGGATTGTGGTAAGTATATTTAACCCTATAAATTCATATAAAATCTCTTCTTGAGATTTCAAAAAGAACCATTTTATATGAATTTGGTTAAATATACTTACCATGAAATTACATTTATATTATATAGAATATTTACTGATTAACAAGCAGTATTTTATTTTGGTGGAGGATAAATTCTCTCACACATATACAATTATTTTCCAACATATAAAAACTATGTCAAATTGTTAAAAAATAATTCCACTAAATTTTGTAAATATGGATATTAGTCAAAACTGAAATTACTAAATTTAAATTTATTACACAATAAAGCTATGCTGTATAACTATATGTAACAATGACAAAACTCTGCAGATTGCATAAATAAAAGTATGCAAAAATAGACTTGAATAAATAATCTGCAGGCCAGTATAGAAATTATTTCATTAAAGCTCCTTCATTATGAGTTAAATGTGTTGTAATATTATTGCAACAGTAAAATAAGCATTTTTTTTTGTTTTTTTGTTTTTGAATTTGTCATGTGAATAGGTTGTTCTTATTGCTTGTACAAATCGCCAAGAACTAATCCAACCTCAGTATCATTTACTTTTCAACTTTGAAATATTAGTTTTCAAAACTTATAAGTTTATTTGAAAACAATAATAGCTTCTCTCTAACTTTTCATTGTTTTCTCTATAGTTTTAATATACAAACAGAGAATATATGATTGCTGTCATCTTTTGATAACCTGATCAGTATCAATATCTTTCAAAATATAAATTCTTTTCTGCTTAATTGTCAAAGAATTATAATCAATTAAAATATACTTTGTAAATCAGTGTCCTTAATACCAACAAAGTATAATAAAGACTCAAACAAAAGTTGTTTCATGATTATGCTAAATCTGGATCAATCTATAAACTTTTTTGAAGTTATAGTCTCCTTGAGTACTTATTCTTCTAGATATAATACTCTTGTTAATATCTAATAGATTTAGAATGAAAATATTTTGTCAAGAGAAGTCCTGCATTATAGGAATGACATGATAGTTTTCCTAACCGACTAAATTTTAAAGTCTGATAGAAATTTCTATGAGTGGTAGAACCTTTGAATACAATGTCTACCAGTTCAACAACGAACAAACATTATCTTTGTGTTTCGTATTAGACTACTTAAGTGTAAAAATACAGAAATGGACAAATCAGTGGAAATGTTTAAGTATACATGTTTTCCAATGGTATCATAATGCTTCTACAGAGCATTTGGATGTTGAGCAAGCCAAAACTGTTGTCCTAATAAGCCAAAAAGAATGCTGACAGATGATTTTCTCCAACTATGAAAAATCTGTCTGTCAATGCATGTTGTTTTGAAATTTCTAATTAAGATCTCACAATGGTATATTGTCTAAAATGCGAACCTTTAGGCATGATTGATTATAAATTATAAATTGCCATGTACAGTTCCAAATTTAAAGAACCAAAAGTTTGACATATTGAACAACTCTTGAACTGTTGCTCTTGACAATTGTTTTTATTTGTTTCAGAAATTATTTCGCAATCAGAAATACTAACATGCAACTTGTATTTAAAGAAAACACATGTTTGACCATATGGAAAACACTTGTACTAACTTGCTTTTGATAAGTGTTCTTAGTTGTTTCAGAAATGGTTACACAATCAGAAATGCTCATTAGTCTGTTGTTATTTATGTATTATTGTCATTTTGTTTATTTTCTTTGGTTACATTTTCTGACATCAGACTCGGACTTCTCTTGAACTGAATTTTAATGTGCGTATTGTTATGCGTTTACTTTTCTACATTGGCTAGAGGTATAGGGGGAGGGTTGAGATCTCATAAACATGTTTAACCCCGCCGCATTTTTGCGCCTGTCCCAAGTCAGGAGCCTCTAGCCTTTGTTAGTCTTGTATTATTTTTAATTTCAGTTTCTTGTGTACAATTTGGAGTTTAGTATGGCGTTCATTATCACTGAACTAGTATATATATTTGTTTAGGGGCCAGCTGAAGGACGCCTCCGGGTGCGGGAATTTCTCGCTGCATTGAAGACCTGTTGGTGACCTTCTGCTGTTGTCTGTTCTATGGTCGGGTTGTTGTCTCTTTGACACATTCCCCATTTCCATTCTCAATTTCATTTTATTTCTCTCTTAGTTCACCTTATCTGAATTCTATACATTCTGATATGGTTCCATATATACCAACCAAAACACTTTTGGTAGTATTTTGTGACTTCAACCCAGTCATTTGGTTAAACTAAGTCACTCATAAGAATTTTGCATTTGTCCACAGATTTGACAAAACAAAATAAATGGGATTTGTATAATCACATCTTTCAAAACAGTATTGAGTCTAAATTCAAACTTACTGTTAATAAACACTTTTCAATTTTGTCTAGTATATTCTTGCATAAAATAGTAACTCTATGCTAGATATTTAATATTATTTCTGCAAAGTTCTGCAGAAAAAGGACTAAGAAATATTGTTAGATAATTGTCTGGTCATTATGAAAATTGAACAGTGAATACCATCAATTTGGGGATTAAATCTCACCCAATCTATTTGGAAACCTTCCTACATGTAGATAAGTCACAACTTGACTTTGACAAGACTAGAATTTGTTTGTACTCTTTGTTAATAATGAACAAAAATAAAAATAAACAGTGACATTTTAAATTTAGATATTAACAAATGTCTTGCAATTATAATCATGGAATTATCATATTGCATGTTACTTCCATGTACTAACAGACTATTGAATGTTATTTGCTAACTATTAATCAGTCTTTTAAATAATGTATTTTGCTCTTGAATTACCTGCTTCTACAGGTGCTAAATTTTGAGAACCAATTGAAATATATATATATATATACAATGGTACAATGTAACCCAAAAGATCTCTTCATTTTTTCTGCATCATCTTGTAAAGACTGGCTAAAAAGAAGCTTTATATAAAGAGATGTATTAGATAGTTCATTTCTAAATCTTGTGAACTACTCCAATCTCCACGTCCATGTCTAGCATTTTTAATGAATCTTGCATCCACAATGCTTTAAATTTTCTTTATTTATTTACTAATATTTTACTAATTATATCTTATTTTTGCAAAATCTATATGATATGCCTTTATTCTTAAACTAAATTCTCAAAAAAACAAATCCTAATAATAATCTTGTTTTTTTTTTATATATATCAGTATCTTTGAGTCCTCTATAGTTCAGCTTTCTGATTCAGTATAAACTCAAGGAAAAACTTGTTGCAGTTCGATTAGCTGTTTGAACTACCAATCTCACATTAAGATTGAAATCAGACCCAATGAATGAATGCCTTACAGCAGAATCTTGCCAAACTTGTTGTCATTGCTTTGAAAACTTAAGACGTAAAGGCATAATTTTCTATCTATTAAAGAGCTTCCAAAAATCTCTCCCTTTCATGACTGGAAGATACATGTATTATTTGACAGTGATTCTCATATAGTGAGGGTGAAATAAACCCTTAAG